TCCTCCGCCTTTCCTTCTCCCATCCTCCTCCCTCCTCTTTTTCATCCCTCATCCATCTCTCCTCATCCTCCCTCTTTCGTCATCGGTCTGCTCCTTCCTCCTCCCTCCTCCCTCCTAGTAATCGTTCTCCTCCTCTCCCTCCTCCTTCGTCCTCATTCTCCTCATCTCCAGTTCTCTCTGCCTACCATCTCAACTTTCTCTCATTTCTCATTGTTCCTCCATCATCACTCCCTCTACTATCTCCACTTCTCTCCCTCTGCCATCTTGGTCATCAAGATTTAGTGTCGAAGATCCCAACAATCTTCCTTCTGGAAGACGTAAGGATTCTCCCGGTTCTCTAGGGGTTAATTTGCCTACTAAAACATCTCCAGTTTTTACCCAAGAATGCAATGGTAACTTCCATTGAGATCGACGCGAGTCGTATAGCGGAGGGGGGGGGAAAGAAAACAGGGCAATCTTTTTTTTTTGATGATCTCTTTAATTACGGGGTTGCAGTTAAAAGGCAGTGCTGAGTGCTTTGATTGGGTGCTTTGATCGAGGGGGGGGGCAGATGCCGTTTCCTTTTTTTTGTCTTTTTTTTTTTCGTGGGTGGACATTAGGGATAGGGCGGAACCTGTGGGGTTCAGGAGGGAGGGAGGGATGTAGGGGGGGGGGGGGGGGGGGAGGGGTGGGGGGGGGGGGGGTGGGGGGGAAGAATGGGTGAAAGGGGGGGGAGGGGGAGTAAAGTTGGGGGGAGGTTTTCCATTTCGTTTTTCTTTTTGTTTTCTGGGGCAACTTCATTTAGGTCACAAAACGAGTTACAATGGCAATAAGGGGCAAGATACAGTTCGCAATCGAACTTCAGGCACCCTACCTGGCCAGAAAGCTGGGTTGTATACATTGCCCGAACTGCAATTTGAAACTGTAGCTTGGCCCATAGTGCAGGATGGGTGAAGGGGGGGGTAAAGTTGGGGCGTGATTTTCCGTTCCATTTTTCTTTTTGTTTTCTGGGCTAACTTCACTAAAGTCACAGAAACGAGTTGCAATTGCACCATGGGGCAAGATACAGTTCGCAATTGGACTTCAGGCACCCTACCTGGCCAGAAAGCTGGGTTGTATACATTGCCCGAACTGCAATTTGAAACTGTATCTTAGCCCATACTGCAATTATAACTCATTTTTGCGACTCCCGCAGAGTTTCCCCCCCTTTTGTTTTTCCTCGTGGGTTAGCAGGAGGAGCCTGTTGGGGTTGGGGAGGGAGGGGGAATGTTGGGAGGAGGGGTGGAAGGGCAGGAAGGGGGGAGGGGGCAACGGGGGTAGGTTGAAGAGGGAGTGCTGACACAAGGGACTGGTGCTGGGGTGTTGGCGGACTGTGTGTGCGCAGGGGAAGATGTCGTTGGTGCTGGCGCGGCAGATTCTGCATGCAGAACCCTGAAAACGCTGCTATATAATCTGCAAATGCAAAGAAAAAAAAAAAGAACACCTGCAGTTTCTATTGCTTGCATTTCCTCCATAATAAATATTAAAAAAAATAGGCAACGCACACCGGGCACACATGCGGCTGGCCTGCGCGCACACCCCAGTGCATCTGCACACAGCGCACCAGGGGGTCACGCAGCGCATAGGGCATTGCGCACAGCGCACCCGGGTGCGCGGTGCGCGGCGATGCTCCCACACCACCAATCCGCGCATCGCACGTGGCACACAAGCCCAATAAAAAGAGATAATGAAAGACCAAAGGTGACCACAAAATGACTTGTCACTGTAAAACTATAAGGAATCATGCCAATAAGATTTCAAAGTAACAAAAAAGGAAAAGTGACAAAGATGAAAGGAAAAAATCGTTGTTTAACTGCTGGTACACCACTTATTTGTTCATTGACTAAGTTTAGATCCGCAGCGCTCACAGGCCCAGTATGCGGCAAGTATGACTTAAACAGTGAGAATTCACAATCGTCGAGACAATGTTCTTTTTTTTTCTTTAAAAAAAAAAGAAGAAAAGGGCAAAAACGGCCTTGAGGTATCATCATTGGGCTGACCGGGCCCAGACACTTCTGACTCTATGGTCGTCGTGTTCTCGCCCTCATGTCTACTTCATTACGACCTTCCCCACACATCATGGTTGAATGAGCAAAAACACACAAAGAGAGAAAACAACTGTCGATTGTGTCAAAAGAATATAGACACGCACCTTGTATGATGGAGAAAGTCGCGCTTCCAGGATCACAGGGTTCACCCCCCAAGGACAAAAGTGATTTCGCAATTCCATTTCCTGATCCTGCTCACAAAAGAAACAGAAAAATACATTTCACCACCTCCCCACACCCCACAACCCCCCCCCTCCCCCCTCCCCCCTTCTGCAAACCCACATGCCCCACTATCCCACAAGAAAAGGAACACAAGAAGAACAGTTTGACAAGTATTTGTAGAGTAAAAACTGGGAAGATATGCACACAACAATGCAATCATATTCATGCAACTCACAGCCTGCTCAGCGCATCAGAGGGTTCGAGCAGTGGCAGAGCTCAGGGTATACATACCAGATGGGTCGCGAGCTTCAAACGGAGTGACTGCTGGTTTAGCAATATTTTTTCTTAACACACTAGCTGACATTGTCTGCAAAACCTGGCGACGTTTGTGTATGTGGGCAGGAAACGATCCAGGAACAGGAGTTTGTGTTGTGAACAACAACAGACAGAACACTACCTTCGTCACCCGAATACAATGTATGCAGTACAGTCATTATTGCTGCATTTACACCGAAAGATACCCCAAATACAGGTATAATGACCATACATTATATCGGGTGAAGAAGGTAGGCACGAAGAGCAAGCACCGAATCACTGACATTGACAATCAGTCTCTCAAGAACAAGGAAAGACGCCCTGAACGACAAACACAACAGTAGTCCACTTAAATCAATTGTGCCACATGTGGAAGAGAGGTAATGATCTGCTCACATTGTAAGGGAGGACTTCCAATGAGGCTTTCAGCTCTGCCAGCTCATGGTGAGGCCCGAGTTGACTCACACCGTAACCCGGAAGTTGGAAGGCCAGGCTAGACAGCAAGACCACAACTTGCTTTGCGAACTCACCTCCGTACAAGCCAGGACATACAAGCAGAGTAACCAGTCTACCAATCATAGAAGTATGGAAGTGATGCACAATGACAATCAAATCGCCAACAGCTCAGAGACTGACCAATAACAGAATTAAGTTCAATTAACTGATGTATGTATTAACTCCAGAGAGCAGATCACCAAAATCAAATGGACACCACATGGAGAAAGAAGCAGACACAGAGCAAGATGAGGACAAACAAAACGAGCAGCAGCAGCAGTATGTGGAGGAGGAGGGGGAGGGGGAGCAGTAGCGGCGGCGGTAGAGGAGGAGGAGGAGGAGAAGAAGAAGAAGAAGAAGAAGAAGAAGAAGAAGAAGAAGAAGAAGAAGAAGAAGAAGAAGAAGGACGAGCAGAGGTTGAGTGGAGATCAATGGAGACTGAGCGGAGGGAGGAAGGACCGGGTGGAGGTTAGATGGAGAGACCGAAGAGGTCATGAAGGTCGGGTGGAGGATGGAAGGAAAGAAGTTGGAGGGAGGGAGGACTCACACAGGGGGGGGAGGGATGGAGGAGGTCGGGTGGAAATCAGGCGAAGGTCGGGCTATGGTCAGCAGGGAGGAAGGAGATCGGGAGGAGGTCGGGCAGCGGAAGGGCGAAGAGAGGAAGTAGGCAGGGAAGAGGTAGAGCAGCAGGAGAGGGGAGAGGAGGTCGGGCAAAGTTCAAAGTTTAAGATCGAGCAAAGTGAGGCGGTCAGGCAGAGATCACGTGGAGGGACGGAGGAGGTCGCGGAGGATGGCTGGAGGGAAGGAGGGAGGAGAGAGGCTAGCCGGCAGGAAGAGGGAGGAGAGAGGGAGGTGGCCGGGTGGCCGGAGGGCAGAGGTTGGGGAGAGATATGGTGGAGGGATGGAGGACATGCGGAGAGAGGGAGGAAGGTGACCGGCGGAGGTCAGGTGAAGGTCAGCGGATGTCGACCGCAGGGAGGAAGGAGATGGGACGAAGGGAGGAAGGAGGGAGGGAGAAGGTCAAGTGGACGTTAAACAAAGGGAGAAGGAAGGAGGAAAGACGTTGGAAGGAGGGAGGGAAGAGGTCACGGAGGTCGAGAGTGGGGAATCGTAACTCCCGATGCATTCTCACTCACAAAGGTACAGGTAATTAACTCCAGAGGTCAAACCATTGAAAACATTCCAACCTCACACAGAAGCATTGAAGACCTGGAATATCAAATAAGGGAATGGAGCTCATCTCAGAGGTCCCCAAGAAGATGTCTACCGATAGTAGACGTGCACGTGATTGAATATGATTGTCAGAACTTCCCAGAAGTTTTCAGCATGCTCGCAGATCATTTCCTGAACCTTCAAAAGGCAAGTGACAGTGGACTGCCTGTTTCTCAAAGCGGTTTAACCGTTTAAGCCACTAGTACCTTTGCCGAGTGGGAAAATAGCGGGCCTCGGCTGGGCCTCCGACCTTTTAGGAGGCCTGCATAAACGAAACAACGGCCACCGACCAGATTTATCAATGGCAGCCGTCGTCAGGCCCGGCCTCCAAATTTTTAGGAGTTTGGGAAAACTGCCACTTTTCCCTATTTTCCCAACCCTGGCGGAGGTACTAGTGGTCTAAATTCTTTTGCTCGGTCATTGAGAGGTTCTCTGCAATATGCTGAAACGTCAAGAGTTGAGCCTGCATAGTGAAAAAGATCATGTGGATGCCCACGCACATCTGTCTCCCCAGAAACACTGCCCAAATGAGTAAAGAAAAGAAGTACCCCACAAGACACTTACCACAAGGTATCACTCCAATCGGGGTCTTGATGGCTTCTTTCCAGTCTGGCCTATTCAGGAGACCGTTCAAAACCTGTGATCACAAAATCACAGCATAATATAATAAGCCACCTGCAGATAAGGTGAAATGTGCTATTCAGCCAACATCTTTCTTTTTTTGTGCGAGCAGCAACACATGCACCTGGGTGTGAATTTGCACCTCTCTCTCTCTCTCTCTCTCTCTCTCTCTCTCTCTCTCTCTCTCTCTCTCTCTCTCTCTCTCTCTCTCTCCTGTCTCTTATACACATCTAGATGTGTATAAGAGACAGCTCTCTCTCTCTCTCTCTCTCTCTCTCTCTCTCTCTCTCTCTCTCTCTCTCTCTCTCTCTCTCTCTCTCTCTCTCTCTCCCCCAGTCCCTCTTGTACCTCATGAGAAATCCCTAGTCCAAACAGGTGCCTGCACAGGTCTATACCAAAAGTCCAACCAGTCCAGGAACTCACAAAGACATGTGGCCGTTACTCCTGATAGAGACCGATGCTTCATTTTCACACCCCCTCTAAATGGGGGTAAAATTGTAAATAGCTGTATTGGCTCTCCCAGCCTTCAACCCCCTCTACTTGGTTGGAAACTGCTGTATAGGCTGTCCCAGCAGGCATGTACCCAAATATCGTCACCGTCTCCTGCCCCACTTCCCGAGCCCCTTCTCCGCCAACAACCCCCCTTCCCCCTCCCCCCCCCGGTGTCCCCACCAACAAAGTTAATGCAACCATGATAATGTTGACAGTTGTCCCCATTTTCCACGAAAAAAAAACATACTAAAAAAAACAGAATCATGTAGAGTTTAAGATCCAGTCTTCGGATGCTGGACTGAATACAAGCGATCACTCCTACCTCGTACACAATTCCATCGCCACTTGCACAGACGATTCCATCCACGCCATCAAGATTCAATCCGGTGGCCACTTCCTCCGCATGTTTAAAATGTTCCGTCTCTGCATGATGTGCATTGAAGCCAAGCCATGTACAAGAGTACAGTTCTTAGCCCTACAAAAAACGTTTTCCAACCTCCCAAAACAAAAGAGAGAGAAAGAAATAAGATTTATCCAACCTCCTCCCTACCCAAGCATACAAGTGTGTGAAAATCGTGAACTGGTTCGAGTCCCCGAATTATCACCTGGATCCCAATCAGCCCGTCCCAGCTTGCTGACCAAAGCAATGATCGCCCGGATTGCCAGGGTCCCGTCCAATGGCCAACCACAGTATTCTTGCACAGAGGCAAAACGTTTACAGTGCAATGATCCTCCCCAGTTCACAATACGATACTCCGAAACTCAAGAAGAAGCGGGTGAAGACCAGGGAAGAACGAACAAAGAAGAAGAAGAAGAAGAAGAAGAAGAAGAAGAAGAAGATTGAACGAACAAAGAAGAAAAAAAGAAGATTGAATCAAAGTATCCCTTTTTGGTAACATGATCTCCTCACATAATCACCCCCTTGTATAAAACAATTCCAATGAAACCACAAGTTCACACAGCAATGATGCCGCACTTCATCGCAGCAAAGCTCACACATGAGATGAAACCCAACAGGAGAGGACAGCGCTTCAGAAACTGTTGAAACGGTATTCACCAATTCGTGGTAGCTGAGGTAGATCCCAGGGCTCGATCCCTAGTTCCCCAACTTACCTGTGTACAATMCCTGCGTCAACTCGAAGAGTTGAACCTGCGACCTGTAGAACCGCCAGTGGTAGGTCGGTCTGTCGTAGGTCTATAGGTAGCCAGGATTCGATCCGTAGACCTATAGACTAGAAGGCTAGCTGCAGTCCTTCTAGAAGCT